GCTTTTCCTGTGATCCTTAGTAAAGGATCCTGACCAAAGATGTGCATGGGGAAGGAGGGGAATCTTGTGGAACACTTTTGGAAGTGGCACAGAGGGTCCCAGGAAGCAGAGAAAGTGCAAAAACTGCCTCAGTCCATATGAGATCTGCTAGATCAAGCCCCGTCATTCATGTCCAAGTCACTGAGAGAAAGTGATAGTGATGTTGGAAGAACTTACATCTGTGTTGTTGTTGTTGTGATATGTTTTTAATTCATTTAGGACTTATCTAAAGTCCTAAATTACTTGAAATGACCTGATCTAAGGCAAACTCAAAATGGAGTTTTCTAGGCAAGATTTGTTTAGTGGTTTTCCATGGTTGAGTGGGATTCGAATCCTGGTCTCCAGAATTGTAGTCCAGTGGTCAACCCACAACACTAGTGTACCTTAGTTTTAATTTCATACTCTCCTGAGGGCACTAAGCTAACATGGGTTATAGCCACATTCTTCCAGTTTTCAAGAATAAGTGACAGCCTGTTAGGGTGTATCAAGACTGATTAAAAATTCCCTGTTTTTGTTCTTGATCTTTCTGATTTTGCACTGGGTTAAAATAAACCGACCTGGGGGACTGTTATAAAAAACAACAACCACTGATTGTACAGGGAGCTGACAGAAAGTAATCTCAGATAAAACATGTATGAATCTCCAAAATAAAATTGGAAAGAATGGGGGGGGGATCTGCAATTTTTTGGTCATTTTAAACATTCTGGATGCATCCTTAGCCTACTGCCTTTTCCTGACCCAAAAGAATAGAAGGACAGGAGCACTTTCATTTAGAGTGTTCATTTACATTGGATTTTATTGCTGTAGTTTTATTGTCATAGTTCTGGTTCAGAAAAATGCCAGGGTTTTATTTTTAAATAAAAAATTGACAATGATTGACTGTTGGTGCCGTTTTCTTGTGCACAAAAACATGTTTCTTTCAACGTGAGGCACATACAATTAAAATATATTTATGTCTTCTGTCTTATTTTGCAGAGGACACTTTCTGGGATATATAAAGAAAATGATTTGCTAAGAAGGGAGATTCAGACCCTTAAAGCCAAATGTGAAGCAAAGAATGCCAAGTGTGGAGAGTCTGCACAGAGCTTTCAGGTAATGTGTTTTCTCAATGAAGCTTGAAAAGGATATAACTTTATTCATTGTGATAAGATGGTGGGAATTTTGGTGAGATGATGATGGAACTAGATTGCTCAAAGCACAAGAAGTCATTTCATATATTGCGATGTATATTAGCCTGATGCATAAGACATACCGTAAAATATGCAGATTTTTAAAGTTCCTAAATAACTGGACAAAATTTGGCACCGCTGGACTAGAAAACAATTGTTGTTCTCTGACCTTTTCCCATTGTATTTGAAGCTTTCTGCAGCTTAAAAACACATTACATTTACAGTTACTAAGGTAGTTTTAGGGGTATATTATCAGTATTATACTTAACTACTCAGAACCAGGGAACAGTCTGCTAATAACCAAAGGTGATTGAATTTCCATTTTGGCAGTTGACTGCTGTGGTATTGTCAGTAGGCCAAAGTGTCATTTGACACATGTGTTGGCTAATGGGATCAAAAAACCAGAGTAAACCCTGCAGAATTAAATTAATACCAACCTAACAGTGGGAATTACTCCCAGCTTCTTAATAATGCTAGTCTGACCAGTGACTATGGGCCTTTGCAGACTGCCAGAAATAGTGCAAATTGAG